GCACGTTTATTTCAATCAAAAACACTGAAAGTTTTACCAACACTGTGCTAATGTATGAACACAGTTCATTTTAATAGCCAATGAGCCGATGAGTGTGTAACTGACACTAATGCTGCACAGGTTTCATGTATGCGCTTCAATCAGAAACGTGCAGGTGTTTATAAAGTCTGACATGCAGACGGACAGCAGCACGTTCTTCACTCCTGGACGTTTACACATCAGAGTTTCATCTTCAGCATCATTCCCTGTTTCACAGTGTGAGTCTGCTGTTGTCAGAGGGCTTGCTAACAGGGGCTCATCTGTTTGTTGGGGTCTTTCTCTGGGTCTTTACCTTAAAATATAAAGTGTATGTATGTGACTGTACGTGATTCAGGGCTGTACACATTTAAACTGTCCTGACAAACATGTCAGTGTGTTATCTACAAGATCTGATAAATGATAATACAGAAAACCGAGTTATGTATAATGATGTTGGAGAGGCTGGAGTGTGTGCTACTGACCGAGTCTCTGAGCAGGAATGTGATGACAAAGCTGAAACACCAACATCAGTCTGACATCTCAGAACAGTCGATAAAAACTCCGTGAGCATGAAATCATTTTGCTGCATTTGTGTTATCATTGTGTTGTTACTGTGCTTTTTGTTATTACTAGAAGCACAACAAGAATACTTTCGTTCAGGTGTTAAAGACACACCTGTCCTCATCTTCCTCCACTCAGACGACAGAGGAGAGCGGCCCATGATGACGTATTTGCCGATCGGACTGTGGTTATCGTAACCACGGCTCCACCGGAGCTCCACTGATGTCTCAGCCACGTTCTTCACCAACAAACCTCCAGGAGGTCCCGGAGGTCCTGTTCAAACCAGAGACAAACATGTGACACAATCTCCACATCGACACAGTAAAGTAGTAAAGGTTGGTTTACCATAACTCACAAAGTGTCAGATGTGTGCCTACTGCTACGTAGGTGCCAGATCCTTACTTTAACACCAGGAGGCGCTATGCTAACTGCAGACTTATTACAGCTGCACAGGTTGAGCTACTCCTCACTCCCAGTGAAACCTGTGATCCCTTTTCTCCTTTACTAATCCACCTCCTCTTATCTTCTTGCTTTTGTGTGACTGCCTATCTGATCATTGCTCCGTGATTATTCTTGTCCAGCAGCTTTAATAAACACAAGCTCTGAGTTTATTAGGATTCTGGTTGGATTCACACGTGATGAAAGGTAAGTGCTGTCTTTGAAAAACACGAGTGTGACAACTACAATTTTATCTTTTTTAAAAACTACGATGTAAGTGAGTTTAATGACATTTGCTTTCATTAAAACAGAAAGCGATCATATGAGTCTCTTTGCCCTGAAGCTGTCTTCCCATGCAGTGTTAGCTTAAACACAAACATCACACGAATCCATAGACGGGACCCTCACAGGTAACGCTTGGCAATAGTGTGATCTAACACTCACAAGCATTATAATCTATGTTCAGTTCAATTCAGCTTTATTTATACAAATCACAACAACAGTCACCTCAAAGTGCTTTACGTAGCAAAACAAAAACAGGCCTTATCATGTAAGTGCAGAGCAGTGAGAGTGTGACATCAGCTGTTTTACCTCGAACCACCAGCTTGGCTGAGGCTGCGGCGCTGTCCACCACAGTCTGAGCTGTGCACACGTACGAGCCCGCCTGGCTCAGCTGAGCCCTCACAATCAACAGGTCACCAGTGTTTTCCTTCTGGAAGGACACACACACACACACACACACACACACACACACA